GATCAGCCAAGTCAAATTTGCCTGGTTGAAAGAGGACAAACTTCATCCTCTTTGCAGTAGTTATTGGTGCACCAGCAGCCCTCTCTCACCTCCATGGGGAGGTTCCAGGCCAGGTAGACGTTGGACTTGTACTCATCCATCCAGACCTCAGCCACACGCAGAGCATTACGCCGTGTGTGGAAAGATATGTTACTGTTGTAGGGTTTCTTCAACCGTTCCATGTGAGCAACCCTGGAGCAAGGCAGCACCTCCATGCTGCCCCCACACAGCCACACCTGCAGGCAGATGATGTTACAGAATAGAGAAATTAAAGCTACATTACTACATTGTTGGCTACTAGAGGGCCACTTGATTCATTTTTCTGAAATTTGTAAAGTGCTGCAGATTTGGGCATCAGCTTTATGGCTGGGCCATTACAACCCTTCTGAAATTACAAAGCGATTAATCAGAGTTAGTTAATCCAGTTGTTAGAAGGGTTTACAAACACATAGACACAGAGAGGTGGTAAATGTTTGATATTCTGTCCCTTACCTTTTATCCAAAAGATAAAATAACCCTGCAGAGTCTCTCAAAAAGTACAGCAACTAACTCTCACCTTCGCACTCTGTGTAACCTATTTATCTCTATTGCCCTGCTGAGAGCCGCACACACACTGGTCTTCCAAGACTCTTAATGGAGCCTCATTTATCAGTGGTGCCATGCTACACTGCTGCTGTTCCACTTAAACCCACAGGGTGAAAAGAGAGCGGGAACAAGAGGAAACTGGGTGACACACAAACCCTGATGCCCAGTTCGATGTTCTCTCCTCCATAGACATCCATCCCAGAGTCGAACAGGCCAAGCTTGCCAAAGTAGTTGCGGTTTGCTACGAAGGAGCAGCCAATCATGGCGGGAGACCTGTGAAGGGGAAGAACAAAAAAAAACTATGAAAACAAGTGACACTGAGCCTTTGGACATGCATATGTGATATGTGTGGTTTTGTCTGTTTGGATTTTGCTTTATAATGTGACTTTGTAAGGTTTTGTATATGCATACACAAGTACACATTTTTGTGTGGTTACATTCATAGGCAAAAATACTGACACCCCTGCATTCCTGTCAGATAATGCACCACGTGTCCCAGAAAATTACTGCAATAAGGAACAGATTGATTTCAGTTATTTTGTCCAAAGGATGTGCTACCAAATATTAAGTTACACCAAAGAAATTGTGAAAATGATCCTATGCATTTCTATGGACAGACATGAATCTCTGTCCTTGGAAGTGTGAAACGTTCCTCTGGCAAACATACAGAGGTTTTTGTTCTTCATTTAAGATTGTGATTGTGTAGTGGTTAAAAATAAATCAGATTCCAGAAGAACTATGCCATAGAACAGTATGTACTTCATATATGGACATTATTTGTACTTATTTGAGCCGAGTGGCTCTGGTTCATTAAGTACATG